AGTACTTACCGCCCGCTCTTAGAGAAGCAACGCTGAACTCCATAGGGCAAGACCACAGATTTGAATCAATCAGAGGAAATATTGGAGAAAGCAGAATTTCATTCTCCCAGTTCTAATGCAGGAAAGGACAAACTGCCCATATTCACCCCCACCCCCCATTTGTTCAAATAAGAAATACAGAAAAATTGGTAAAATTTATTCACAATGCAGAAGTTGAGATGAATAAAGCAGCTGGCAATGGCGTCTTGCCTCTGAGTTTGATTTATAAAAAATATTAATGATCTCAATTTTCTGTATTTTGCTATTTCATTTGGGGAATGATGAAGAGGGTCTTTTTTTTATAATTATAAAACTTCAGACTTCAGTGTTATTTATCACAGTGTTGTCTGGAATTTCGAAAATATCCTATCAGGGGTGATCTGGGCTTTCCAGGACCTGCAAGTTGATAGAAGTTGGGTAACCGTATATCGTAGTGGTGTTTTCCTCCGATATATACCCTGTCATTCAAGGCATAGAGTTTATCTGCAATGTCACTGCCAACTAAAACTGAGAACAGGCGGGAGATGTAACGATACTGAGCGAAGAGCAAATATAATTTCTTTCTCCTCCATGACACATACCGACAATCAGTTTCTGCTGTGAGGGTTACCTAAAAACAATAAAACCATGTATAAACAAAGATTAGGGTGCAAGAAAAGTTCTGTCAGTCACATTTTTTGTTCCCCACATTTTAAATGAATGTCCATTCTTTTTTTTTTAATTTTAGGTTAAAAAAGCCCACTGACCCAAAACATACTGTAAAAATAGAAAAAGAGATCAGAAAATGTATTACTATACATAATTTATAACATGAATAGTCACAATATTGTGCCCATCTCCAATTTATCTGTTTTTTAAGTTCAGATATCTGTGTTTTGCTTTTTATTGAAGCAAGAGTTAATTATACTAAAAATTAATAAAGTCGGCTAATGTTAGAGAAGTATCTCCAGTCAGTCCTGAAGACTGTGGACATTGAACCCTAATCCAGTTTCGATAGTACAAAATAGAATTTATTTACCTATCCTGCATATGTATATGAATTTGTATGTGTAGACACACATGTATGTTAGATGTATTAATCACAGGAAAACAGTATATACCATAATAGATAGAACCTCCTGAACTGATTATCTTTCAAAACTCCCAGACATGGCAGCAGAGCAGGGACAGGAAGTTTAGCATTTTGTTGGTAGACAACAACTGCAATCCATCAGCATCTTAAATTTCAAAAATAACTTATTTTGTAATAAAGGCAGATTTTTTGTTCTTGGTGTTTTTCTCAATGGTCGCAGTGGCAGTGTATAGTGTACTGTCAAATCTCAAATGATTTTCATTCCCATATATGCAGTTAAGCAAAGAAAAATGTAAGACTATTTTTCACAGACTCCTTTCTGTCATATGAAATACTTGTTACTGGACTCCTATAAACTGACATCAATCGTCAAGAGTCAAACAGCTTTAGAAAGTCATGCATGCTGCATAGTACGCTCCAAAGTGACATATGAATGATTCCTCTGTCACCTGCTGTGCGTCTGTTTATCTGTGTGGGAGCGGCCGTGTTCACTGCGTGCGCTCGTTACCCCTTACCTGAAAAGTGCCTTCCTCAGTGGGTCTCAGTGAGTCCCATTCAGGAGAATCCAGGAACTGGAAGGGGAAAATGTAATGCAGAAATTCGCCATCAACTGTCACTCTGATCCTACCCAGACACAAAGAACAGCATTTATGAGGAAGGAGAAAGCCAGCACATAACTGGGGTGAGGGGAGGGTTCAGGCCTCTGAGGACCTTTTTGGCTGTTAAAATGTTGAAGGGCAAAGATTAAATTCCTGCATTACAGTGAGTGGCAAGTCTCCTGTAAGATTCATGTACTGATGTTCCTCACACAGTTAGGATTCTGGAATATTGAGCAAAATTCATCAAAAAACTCATCAAGCTGTACATTTATGATATGTGCCCATCTCTGCATGTATATTACACTCTGATAAAAAGTTTCAGTGCACTCAGATTTTAAATTAAATAGAACACTGAAGAACATAAAGGGGTACCACTGTAAATACCTCTGAAAATTAAAACAACTTTTAAAGAAAATAATCATATTGTTTCCTCCCCCAAACTTATATATATCTATATATATAT